CCACCCACTACCAAAAGGTTTTGCTCTACTATTTTCTGCTGTTTTTTTAAACGTGAGAGCAATGACACCGTTTCTCATTCTATCATAAAGTGGAAGCATATCATCAATTTCTGTAACCGTGTTTATTTCATGTTTAGCAGCAGCTCCGTCTTTAAATATTACATCTAATCTATCGATTAATACTTGATATTCTGCATCAGTCCACCTGCTTATATTTTCAATATCACTTATATTTTCTTTGTTTAAAAAATCATCATATTCACTACCTTTTATCTCATCATTTGCTCTTTTTATAAAATGAAATCTTTGATCTCCAACTTCCATAAACTTTACAGTAAGCTCACCAACTCTTTGTTGCTCCTCTTTGATATCTTTTATATCTCCTGATAAATTTTTTATAATATTTGTTATTCCTTGCGTTGTTAACTCTGCTAATCTTCGCTCAAGTTCCAGCGGATTGTTTATCAATCGATCTGTTTCAGCTTGTCTAGCCGCAGGATCAGCTATATTTGCTGTAAATGCCTCAATTAGTTTTCTTTTTTCTTCATCAGATCTAGTAACAAGTTTTGCAGCAGCTGCTTCTTGTTGTTCTCTAACAATTCCAACCAAACCTTTTTCTTGCAGTTGTTTAAGTTCTTCTTCTGATAGTGGTTTAGTTTCAGGTTGTTTACCTAATAGTGCTTCAGTAACCGGCTTGAAAATTGTAGCTGTTGCTTCTGTAGCAGTTACTTGCCCACGTCGTGCTTCTTGTACTTTTTGCTTAAGTGATGCCTGAGATTGAGCAAGTTTTTTTAGATCTTCTATGTGTTGTCTGTATCTTGCTCGTTTGTCCATTATTATAATTATAAATTTTATAAAATTGAAACGCTTTACTGTAAGTAACTGTTAATACAACAGCGAAACATTTTAGTTGGATCATTTGTAAGTTTATCAAACAAGAAAAAGTTAAATTTATCTTTTGTAGCATTACGGTAAAGTTCAATAAACTTATCTTTTGTCACGCCACCGCATTGCTCGCTTGCAATATTTCTAACGTCAACATTATCCAGTCCTGGAAATAAAATAAAACAACCCGTATTTCGCCTAATAAATCTATCAACATTATAAAATCCTTGAGCGAGATAAACAGAATTACACTGTTTGTTACGTGACAGTGAGAAATATGATCTTATTTTATTCATCTCCATGTTATTTAGAGGAATATCGTCAAAAACTACTATCTTATGTTCATCTGCATCAAGTTGATTAACTGGAATAAGATCTTCTGGCTGCCTAATTATAAAAAAATCTTCACCAGCTTTAAGATCATCACGAAGCTTGTTATTATATTCGCTTAATAACTCATACTTATCTTGCTGTGGATTGATTGTGTAAATATAAACTCTGTCGTAGTTAAAATCATCACCAAGAAGCAAATTCATAAGCAAATTTGTTTTCCCCGATCCATTTCGCCCAACATTAAGATAATGACAATCAGGAAGTTCATTGTTATGTTTGTGCTTCACTAGTCTCTCTGTATCAATGTTTAATATCGACGATTTTGCCATTTTATATAATATTAAACTAGTGTTGATAATTTTATCTAGGACAGTAAATAATGAGCTACTATACAAAATTTGGAACACTATCAGATTTATCAACAAAAGGTTACCAAGGTGACTTATCCAAATATGCAACTCTTGATCAGCTCAAAAATGAAATCAATAATTTACTAAATCTTACCAGCGTAGATCCAGATGAAGTCGACATTTTCCAGGACAAAGAAGGACGATTAAAGACGAGTAACGTAAAACTGTCAGATGTAGTTGTACGAAATCCAAGTGGGAATATTGTTATGACACAAAACAAGATTACAGATCTTGGAAACCCAACTGAGGATGGGGATGCTGTCACTAAAAAATACGTCAATGATTGGGACGCTTCAATTAATAATGAAATCACAGCGCTCAAAACTGATTTTACCAGTCACGTTAATACATTTTTAAGTTTTCGCAGAAACATAAACAAAATTAGAGATGAATTTTTTTGGAAATCCATCAAATGTTAGCATTACACTCGCTAATATTAACACAAATCTCAATGATATTAACATAAAACTCAATGATATTATTAGTGGAATTCCTAATATTGTTGAGAAAACAAATATGATTAAAATACTTCACAAACAGATTAAAAATATTGTGTATAATGTTGCATCCGGTTATACTAGGTGGACACCAAAAAAATAATTCTATTAAACATATTGCAGAAGTTACCGGTGTGTATAGATTGTCAGTGCTTAGCAGTGCAAAGTTTAGAATATCTACCAAATATCTATCTCGTCATCCAAATGATGACTCATCTGGAGTATTATCTGTAATAATAAACCAAAATTCCGAAGAAGAATTTGTATTTGAACCAGTTGATAAAACTTTAAAATAAGCAATTTTTCTCTGGTGTTTGGAATTTATAGCTGAACAACCAGCTCTTATTTTGATTACCCAAACATAGGACTATGTGAACTAATATTATAATGAAAAGAAGTATAGTTGATTTCAATCATATTTCAAAAGATATTCCAAAACAAGATGTAGACGCATTAATACAATGCTATAAATATTATCATAAAAAAATTTTGGTGCGTGAAAAAATGTTACAAATACTACAACAAGATCCTTCGAGTAATATCTTATCTACCCTTGTTAATGATCAGTTCTGGTATAATTTCAAGTGGGGTATCATTAAATCCTTTTTTGTTAATCATATCCGCTATTGGTGTTTCACTTACAGCGGCGTGTAAAAAAGTAGAACCAAGACTTTTGATAAAGAAGCACGGTTGTTTAACATCAATTAAAACTTACAAGAAACTACTTGATCAGATCCGGTCTTACCTACGAGGAGTTAAATATAATATGGATGATTTATTACGTGAATTTCGTATTATTGACAATATGTTAACAGATATTCTACCAATGAGGGTTAGCAAGTATGAAAAAAATATCACAAAAATATGAGTAACATAAAATTTTATCTAAACTTAAGATATAATATAACTAAAATAATATCATTTTCATTCTAATGCTAGTTTAATTTCCACCTTGTTAACTGAAACGTTCTAATACACAGTTTAATTTTCATCCTGTTATCTGATAAAAAATTTGTGGTAAAACCTATTTGCCGTCTTTAGAATAATCATATTCCACACATACGCTGTTCTAACAAATTTGTCATTTCTGTTGACAGAGCTTATCGCATTTCAACACCTGTTGTTTTGTCTGGTTACAAAATATCTGTCTACATAGTAGTAGTATAGGAAAGATGGTTTTGGCGGGGGTGGGGGAGGAGGTGTGGGAGGAGGGTGGTGGGCCAAAACTCTCATTTTCCTATACTACTACAATTCTGGTTCTTAAGGTTTTCATTCTTTTAGACTTAGATATATTTTGTCAAGATTATTTTGGATTTACTTCATAATATTGTAAGGTCCTCTTACGTTTTAGTTTATAACATTCATACTTAAATCATTTGTACGTTTTGCAAAACTTGTTTGATTTTGTTTGGTCTTTTGTTTGTTTTTTTTTTTTTTTGCTTCTTTTCATTAATTACTTTATGACCATAGAGTCGTGAATAGTGTGTTGTGCACATATAAAAGAGTACGGATAGTGCTTTTATGACCAGTCCACAATTAACTGGTCGTACTAGGCACAAAGGCCATACACTACTTAAATCAATGATCAGTCAGTCAATCAAACCACCCGGCGTTAACTCGTCAATCGCGAAAACGAGTAGAATGGAAAACGCATTGAAACCATTGTGTACAGGGTCAGGCACCATCTCATTTATAGCGACACAAAAACCTCCCATTTTTGTCATTATTAATGAAGATTTTTTAGATGACTCCTTTCTAAGGAAATCAGAGAAGAATATATTAAGATGCTGGAAAATGCTGCCGGATTGGTCATTCAGTCTAGATGCAAGAGGGAAAAAAAGACTGGAAGAAGCTGGCCATCAGGCTCGTGGTCTCCACAAAAACAAAAGGGAATGTATGGGGATGTTTGAATGGTTATCAAAAAGCAGATTTTTGATTGCAGAGGTGTGTGTTTGAGTAGTAATCAAAAAGTTTAAATTGGACTGTGGGAGTATGCTTGGCACTCACACGGTTAAGCATGTGTGTAAAAGCCCATACAACGCCATTTACTCCCATATAACCATTACTGCGATTTTATTACGCGCGCCAGAAGTCAGGGCTCCATCTGTTCGAGTCGCTATTGCGCGTTTTGCAAGGTTTGAAATGGAAATATTTTATTGTGTATATCATTTGAATACGTTTGAGTTGCTTTACAGTTGCCTAGGTGTTAGCTTGGAACAGTTTAAAGTTCAAGACTAAAACTCCCTAACTATACTGCATATAATCCTTCACATAAGGTCTTTCTAAACTTTGTATGTTGTCATGTATAAGACCCTTTTAGCATTATATGTAGTTACCGAAAAGACCATTGTAATATTACAATGTTATATTTTATTATATGTTGCTACAGAAAGGAACATGTAACCATTATAATGCTAGATTTTATTACATGTTGTTCCATGAAGGACCATTTTAACTTATATGCTGTTACAGGAAAGACCATTTTACCCTTATAATGTTAGATTTTAGTATATGTTACAGAATAAAAAATATATTTAGAAATTACACTGTATTTTGCGTTGGCAAATAGACATTCCGTTTTAGTTTAAAAATTGGGAACCTCGGCTCTTTGTCTGTGTGCGTGCGTGCGTGCGCGCGTGTGTAATTTAGATTTTTAACGTAGCTTTAACAATTTTTCAGTCATATCGCTGCGATATCTGCAGTGTGGCAGTTTATAGTGATGTCTAGCACTAAAGCATCATGCAGCAGACATGTGGCATGATGTCCCACTCAGTCAAATTATCCAGCCACTAGGCCTAATAATACTAACACTTACCTCTTAATGCTGAGAGCTAAGCGAGGCAGCTATTAATACCATTTTTTAAAGTCTTTGGTATGAGTCGACCGGGATTCGAACCCCTGACCTCCCGCATCCGAGACGGACGCTTTAACCACTAGGTCACCGCAGCGTTGTCTGGGCTCTTTGATGCAATAAATATAAAATTATTTTATTCGATTCACATTTTAGACGGCTATGACAAATTTTATTTAAGGTATGCGCTCTTTGAGGTCATGTCATGTCGCAACGCTTATTTCTCCTTTGTTTAAAACTCTGGAAGCTCTACCAGTATATGTCCGAAGCGGAGAATTGGATCCGACCAATTCTCAAACATGAAAGGTAGTGTGATACAGTCAGCTCTTACTGTATACAACGAAGGATGGAAGTATCCACAACTAGAACAAGATGGCGGAATCAACAGATAAAGAGAGGGATGATGCGGGTCCGTTCCAAATCCGACAACCCAAGGAAGCAGTACCAACACTACCCTGAGGGAAGAATGAAAAGATTACTAATTTTCATTGCCAATAAAGAAAAGCACGAAGTTGCCTTCAAATCAAAAAAGGATAGTTAGACAGCTCCAGCTAACATCCCAAAAGCCCAACCCATCACGCATACAAATAGACCACACTTCAAAAACAAATCAAGAGACTATGCAGAACTAACCACCTCCCCAATGCTGTCTCAAAACCCTAACCCTGGTACGGACAAACGATTAGCGATGAACAGTCCGGGCCGCGCGGCCAACTGTTCAAAACGATAAGCCTACATTCTATGTCTTCACTTTGGCTCTGAAGACCCACGGCCCAAACAAGATTCTTTGGCTAGGCGGTCAAAATTACACAACCATCCAAACCAAAGCGGTGATAAATTTATTAAATAGGCGACAAACGCCTAAAGATTGGTAATTTTTGCGAACATTATAAGTACGCCAAGTACGCAAAATTCCAATTACAATCATTTATTCCAAATCCACAACTCAGGATCATTAGGCCAATTGCACAGGTGGCTCACACAACATTGATATAGGGATACCAATAGGAAAAACTGGTATATATTTGATAAAAAAATCCACTCAGCTGAAATAAAGTTGGGTGGATAATAACTTGGGGGCGTGGGGCTGGGGTCGCGGTCCGAGTAGGAGAGTAGTTTACGGTTTCTGCCATTTTTTCGGTTAGAGTCAGGTGAGAATATAAACGATACTATAAGGGTCTCTTTTTTGAGGTCCCTGATCTCTAGGGGTCAGGAAAAGGCCTAGCACCAAAGGCCATTCACCCTCCAGGGGGGGGCCACAGACCACGCCTGGGACTGTGGCATACTTTCCAGAGGGACTGCAGTCCATGCCCGGGACTGTAAGCAGTCGTATAAGCCTCACGGCAGCAAGCGACTTAAACGAGACATACATACATACAACTTTAGCAGGAAGGCTGGCAGGTTGTTGAACAGAGCGGACATGTTTTCCTTAGCTCCGGACTTTAAGGATAATATGGGATGATTCGCTACACATTAAGGATATTACACTAGGAAAAACTAAGGTAAAGTAAAATCTACTCAAATCTACTTAAATCCACTAAATTTATAAAAGTCTATTTAAAAATCTACTTTACCTCATAACTATAAATTAATTGCCGTTATATAATCACTAAAGCCAACTACTACTGAATTTTACCACCCAAACAACTCTTACTACAACCAACGATGTAAATATACCCTCCTATACAAATTTTACAAACTATTTAGCATATTGAATAAAAACCAAAACTATTAACTAAAAGTTCCTTTGTTCCCTTGTTCTTACGGAAAAATTCCTTTGTTCCTTTGTTCTTACGGAAACAAACACGTGGGCAGCCAAAAATATTTACTGTACAGTGGTACTACTCCACAGCAATACCCTCAAACAATATCTACTTAAATCTACCCAAAACTATTGAAGTTATAAAAGTCTAATTAAAATCTACTTTACCTCATAACTCTAAATTAATTGTCGTTATACAATAGTGAAAGCCAACTAGTACATAATTTTACCACCCCAAACAACTCTTACTTCAACCAAAGATGTAAATATACCCTCTTTAACAAATTTTAATATTGAATAAATACCAATACTATTAATTAAAATTTCCCTTGTTCCTTTGTTCTCACGGAAAATTCCTTTGTTCCTTTGTCCTCACGGGAAAAACACGTGGGCAGCCAAAAATATATACTGAACAATGGTACTACTACATAACAATAACCTCAAACAATATATTATAAATATTTAATCATACAACCCCTACATGAATTTATATTAAAATATTTATTGAAAAATAAAAATTTACATTTAAACTCTAGCTAACAGTTAAATTCTCCTCTCAACATACCGGGTTAATATTATACCAGCTTACAAATCAGATAACACGAAATACATAAACCCTAAACTAAGGCTGCATCTGATAGACCGATAATAGCCGCGCTTAATGACAAAAGAAAACGTACAATCTTAAGCTAAAAGAAGGATTGAAAACTAAAATCTATACCAACCAATCAAAATTTAGCACTCGAATGACGTACACAAGAAACGCAACTTTAGTACAAACGCTCCCACATAACTACTAATAAATGTACACTATTTTCCAAAATTAACGAGGAATAATTAAAATCTGAAGCATCCAATATTATAAAATGAAAACAAAAAAGAATAATTTAGATCCCTTGTAATAAGAACCCTAGGAATTATTACTCTTTACCTTTAGTCAATGTAGCCTTAGTTATAAGCATAATTAAATCATAACAATAATCATAACTATTTATAACATACATATACTGTATTTGTATTTTAATTTTCCTTATAATAACTATATATACTCTGAAAAAAGAATATCCCACAAACAAGGAAAAGGATTGAAAATAAAGATCATCTCTACCACGTCCGCCTAAGTACACTCATAAATTGAAGCATGAGCACAAACAGAAAAAGGAAGGCTGGCGGGTTGTTGAACAGAACGGACGTGTTTTCTGAACTCCCGGACTTTCTCACAAATTCACTAATTCAGAGAATTATGCTCACTTATTAAACTTATTATAAACTATAAAACAAAAAAGAATAATTTATATCCATTGTAATGAGAACCCTAGCAATTACTACTCCTTATCTTTAGTCAATTTAGCCTTAGTTATAAGCATAAATAGTTAAATCATAACAATAATCATAACTATTTATAACATACATTTACTGTATGTGAATTTTAATTTTCCTTATAGTAACTATATATACTATAATTAGTATTGATAACCATCTATAATGCTACAACTAAGCACATAATGAGAATAAAATACCATAAAACATAATTTTCTTAAAAACCTAAATAGGAAACAAAAATGAACTAGATTAGAATTGAAATCTCGGCTTTTAACATCCAATCAAAACCGAAGAGACAACAACCTTATAATTTTGAATCATCCAATATTACTAAATCAAAAATGCAAGAATAAAGAAGAAAGGATTCAGGACCTCATAGGAGGGAGGAGGGGAACCAACATCAAAAGAGACGCCTACAACAAACCATCAACAAGAACAAATCGTCAATATCAAATAAAGGGATTCAATAAGCCTGTATCGGAACCCTAATAACCCATCCCCGCATACAAACATATACATAACTGCAAGCATCATACCTAGTTCATACCATAAAACAGGCGCTAAGACTCTTACCTGCACAAGCCTGGGTGGATCCCGACTCCTAAAGGCACTATATATATATATATATATATATATATATATATATATATATATATATATATATATATATATATATATATATATATATATATATATATATATATATATAGGATAAGATTTCCCACCATAACAAGGGCAAAAATGGTCAAGGCCGATAAGAGAAAATCAGGAACCTCCCACCTGATAGCCCTAACTCCCAGGAGCGAAGTAGACCGATTAGCCCGACGCACACAAAGACCGAAAAGTAACCTGGTAAAGGCTACAATCACAAAAGTAAACGGAACGGACAAACAATTAGCAATGGACAGTCCGGGCCGCGCGGCCAACTGTTCGAAAATAAGTCTACAACCTATGTTTTCACTTTGGCCTAGAAGACCCAACATTAAATCGAGATCCATTGGAAAGGCAGTCAAAATTAAAAACCAAACATTGTCAAAGCGGTGATAAATGTCAAAATTAGGTGACATACACCTAGAGATTGAGTTAATATTTTAGAACCATACAAGTACGCTAAGTACGCAAAATTCAACCTCATCAAAATATATTCAAAATTCACAACTCAGGAACATCTGGATAATTGAATAGGTGGCTAATACATCATTGGTATAGGGACACCCGTAGGAAAAACTGGTTAAATTTGACAATAATCCACCGGATTTAAAGTTAGGTGAACTTAGACATTGGGGACTTTAGTAGGCGGGAGTTGAGGCGGAGGGCCGTTCCGCTCTGTTACAATACGCAGCCAACCCAAGGGTCTTAAGGTCAGCCAATGAAGGTCAGCACCACGACCAAAAGCCCAGCCCTAGGGCTAAGCGCCTCCCTGGATAGCAATGTTATCGAAAGATAACATCCGGCTAAGGCGAGGAGCCACCAGGGGGGTTAATAGGCCCACGCGCCGGGGCAAAAGTGTCAGCACTGGGCACTGGTGAGCCTGGCCCTGGAAGGGGGAGAGGCCACTAGCCCTTTTCAAAGCTTAAAGTCATAAAACACGAAAGTGTATACATGACTATAACACATATGAACATAAAACTTTAGCATATTTTCTCAATGGTTTTGTTTCACGGTTCTTCACAAAAGATCGGGGACATATCATTCTGCATTTCGTCCTTCATTTCATTCGTTCCCATATGTCTGTTTCATGTTTTAATCCATTTCAACTTGTATGTTATGACCTTTATTAAATTCGAGATTTATTGATAACACTTCGTATGTTGATACGCGCCATGACAGTATTGTCAACCTCAGTGGAGCCATCAGTGTTGCCTACATCATTGGAGCCATCACAGTGTTGCCTATTTCATTGGCAGACCTCTATTCCCCCCCAAAAAAATCGAATGGTACAGTATTTTCTTATTTAATTTATGTTTACATCTGATAGAATACGTTTAATTCAGGATGTGTCAGGCACC